CCTGTTCTTCAAAACAAGCTGATTAATTTGAAAATAATCTTGATAGAAAGGAAAATGAGGCACAAAACATTATGGAAGGCATCAAAATGAATCCGAAAGAGGGAGCGAATAAAATTCGTGAAGAAAACAGGAGAGAATTTGATACAGAAAATAAAAATACCGATGTAAACGTTAAAACAAAACAATAAGAAAAACCAAAAGCAATAATAACAGAAAAAGTAAAGACCAAAAAGGGATACAAAATTATAATGAGAATGATGAAAATAACCGAGGATTGACTGAGTTTTTTCCACCTCCTGATATTAACACAACAACAAGTGTGAAAAAGCGCAAAGCAATTAAATCAACGGCACAAGTTGTTGTCAGATATTTCTTAACATCTACTGAAAAAATCAATTCGAAGAAAAAAGTAAAAGTTTCACTCCAAGAGAGTTGGTATTGCTTTATTTGTCAAGAAGATCGGATTTGTGATATGCGTCTATGTGTCATTTGTAATCGTTATGTTCACGAAGAGTGTGTAGGTTTATGGTAAAATGATAAAATTTCATTTGTTTGTATTGATTGTCAGTCTCAATCAACTTTAAATAAAAACTTACGTTGATACTCGTCATTTTCTATTTTTATATACCTACATAATCAGTTTTAAATAAAACCATAGTTGGCGTTATTTGGGACAAGGTGTTCCTAAAAGCTCCAACTGCAATGTATATCAAAAAATGAAAATTTGTTTGTTTGAATTGTTATAAAAAACATGGTTCTATATTTTTTATTCTAATATATGTAGAGATAATAATTACCAAGGTTCATAAAATGTTAAAGGTTACTCAGGAAGCTATGCAAAATAAGACGGTAATATGGCGTTAATTGGGTCAAGTACCTTATCTGATGCTCCGTTTTGTTGTGGCGGCCATAATGTACAGCGTTCTCCTGGCCAAACTCTTTCATTTGATAATCCATATCGGAAAAGTTGTTAAAAACATATTTAATCCGCCATTTTGTTTAGACGGATATACTGAGTATACATAATTGTTTTATCACCAGGACTAAACTCGCCTAAACATCAGCCTAAGAAAGTAATAAGAGGTCTTTTGACGGAAATATCCGTCCGTAATCATCAGATTGCAATTTGAAGAGCATTTTTGAATTCTTCGGACAAATTTATATCGGAATGATCACAAGTTGGTAGGCCTAATACTTTCCAATGACAGGAATACCCAGAAATTGGAAATATTACCAAAAAGGCTAAAATTCACATTTTTCCAAATCTTGATATTTTGCACATGTCTTCAGAATGTACTGTTCGACATAGGAGTCTTTTGAGTTTATAAAGTCTCATGCCTCCAGAGGTTCTTTTCAGGGAACAAATTTGAACCCGATATGAGACATGACCCGCCCCCCAGTATCATGAAAATGGCAATATATCGAAAATTGGATCCAAAGGCCTATCCAACCAATTAAAAGACCCAAATTCTATTTATATGGCGGTTAGGCTGGACCATCTCTACGAAGGAAATTAATCTTATGATAGATAAACCAAATGAAATATCTGCCGAACGGGAGGTCATCTTTGACTTACTTAGTCACTATGAGGACATCTGCAGGTCATATCACGGTTTCTTCAACGACAAATGTAAAATAAGTCCAAATTCGTGATCCGTTTGTCTCTAGGAAGGCATTTAAAGAGTATTTTAAAGCATCCCAAAGGACAAACTGAAAAAACTTGTATCGACATTCCCGACCACCTGCCATAATATGGCACTATACGACTATAAGGTTATATTTCTCGGTAATTTGCAAAAGTTAGTAAAAATGGCACTATAATAATGATCGTTTGTCATGATGCACTTACACAGGCCAAAGAACGACAGTATAAATAAGATAAACAAGGGCAAAATATGGTGACTAGAAGGATAGAAAAAAAGGAAAGCTGTGTTAAGACCGAGAAGTCGTAAGACATAAAGTCATGGATGTCATATAAAGCTCTTGATAAAAGAAAACTCTTTATAAACCCACTTAAATCGTCAATATCTAGAGCTCTTATCTGATAAGGCATTAACGTTTCAAGCCAAGACAGTTAACGCCACTTCTAGTTTTAGCAATTCTGTGATGTTTGATGTAGTAGTTTGACATTGTTTCATTCGGCAATACTTTAGGATTCACATACAATTTATACCACTTGAAGCAAATTTCGGAACCTTAAAAAAATTCTATTAATCACACTAATATAAGAGCCTAAAATCTGATGCGAAGGAAATTGATAGTATATCCCTGTCAATGATCCAGCTTTGCCTCCGTCACATCGTCCACATCTTTAACGACTGTTTGGAAAAAGGCTACTTTCCAAACACATGGAAACAAGCTCTAATTATTCCAATTTCAAAAAAATGAAACCCACTGATTATAATGATCTCAGACCTATCAGTTTATTACCAATTTTATCCAAAAGTTATTCAAAACAATTGTATACTTTTCATCTTTGGCTTACGTAAATTTGATCATGTATCAGCGAAATGTCCCATTCTAAACTGGTAAAAATTAATGACATGGTCAAGTATCACTATTCAGTTTTTGTTCACAAGTTGCTGCTCATATCTAAACCCTCTTACTTGAGAGAAAAATTTTCATTTAATAATGATGTTCACTGTAGAACTTTCATAGAAAATAATATTAGAATACCCCAAAATACGTCTACACCTTTTAAACGCAGTTTTTCCTGTTCCTGTTGCTATTATTTATAATGATCTTCCTAAAGTATATAAAGAATTTTCATTACCTGTTAAGTTAAAACAATATTACTCAACCCTCCAAACATATAATTTACGTAATCATGCATTTCTTTTTTATTCCTTCTTTAATTCAGGTTAATAATTATTTTGTACTTGGGTTTGGAAAGTATGCCTTTTTATTTTTTTATTTTTACTTTCGACGTAATGAACCAAATCTGTTTGTGTGTGTTTTGAACTTTTGCTAGCGACTATATGGTTAAGTGTAAGAGTAGCAGCATGCTAACCTTCGCCATGTAACTCTGACATTTGGCTATACTACAGTGTAATTGTGAATAAATAATTATTATTATTAAGTGATGTTAAAAATAATGTCCCTTTCAATTCACGGTGTACATGAAAACAATAATGACAGATTTATATAACATCAAATGAAAGCTCGTACCATCTTTATTGTGATCCATATTCAGATGCTCAATTATTTTCATCAAATAGCACAATCGCAAAAATGAGAGAAATGAACACAAAATTCCTGGTTGGTGAAGGATATTACAACTAACAGGCGAGAAAATAGGCTACAGACAGGAGTATTTATCAAACGTGAAAAGGTTTTTACATTTTGCATTCTTTTTTATCTCCAGTCATTTAGATTTTATAGAAATTCATTTTGCGATGTCAAGTACAAAATACAAATCAGCGCCTAGATGTTAGGCACTGCAAAAATGTTTGGTGTGTGATGCGTCATTCTTAGTTTTCTGTGATGTGGCTTAATTACACACAGCACACAACGCGGGTGCGGTGGTGATTTCCCGTCAAGCTTCTCAAAGTTTTTGAAAACGCAAGAAACCGTGAAACATGTTAATTCCTAACTTTAGATTTTATAGAAATTTATTTTGCGACGTCAAGTATAAAATACAAATCTGCGCCTAGATGTGTGGCACTGCAAAAATATTTCGTGTGTGATGCGTCATTTTTAATTTTCTGAGATGTTGTTTGATTACACACAACACACAACGCGGGTGCGGTGGTGATTTCCCATCATGCTTCTCAAAGTTTTTGAAAACGCAAGATACCGTGGAACATTTCAATTCCTAACTTTGAAAATAACCTCTCTTCAGAAAGTACAACACAAATAACCCGACTGTTACACCTTATAAATATTCTTGATGTGCAGGACATTCTGTTAAAAGTTTGTCACATAGCAAATATCACTGATTTTATACACATGCAGAACAATATACACAGTCACCACACAATTATCCAGATGTGATCTTGCTATAGTTGTAGTCGCCGTTATTGGTGGTTACGTCATCAACGGCATATGAAATAAGTAATCAGATCGAGTCCCCGTACCATGGGCGGATCTTAATTTTCCTAACTGAGGGAAAGCGATTTAAAATTAATTATCTACTAATCGTAATTCTCATCTTCTAATCTAGTACATAAACCTTTCTTATTTTCTGATTTTATTCGCTGAACACTGCTCAGACAAATCTTCAGCGTATCTGCTACTCTCTCAAGTACTCATAAAGTGGGTAACAGGGGACCGCTGTTTCCATTCTCTTCCTGGAAATACTCTAATAAATTTAGCACAAGCTATCGGCCTTCTCCATTGATCGTATTTCCGGGCTTTGTACAATTATATTGAAGATTGATAACAGGACGACTAAAATTGCACGCCGATGTCAAGTAAGTTGTCTCTCTGACAAATATGATTGAAGGACACTCATACGTATCGACAAAGTGACTAGACTTGACTTCTGCTCATCAGGGTAGGCCGGGGGGGGCCTTTTGCCCAAAAATTACTGAGGTTCTAACTAGCAGAAAAGCGAATCTCTTTAACAAAAAATGCCAAAGATAGATTATACAGTTATAAAAAGTGTATGCAAAAAGTAGTCAATGTAAGGAAATAACGAATAAATCATAGTTTTAGATGTTCAGATTGTTAAAGAAGTGCTAATCTAGGTCTTTTGTGTTTATGATACGTAACGACAAAGTGTTCGAGACGGAGACACACAACTAAAAAATGTAAATGTCTTTGAGCTTACCGAACAAAGGTTCACACACAGGGGTAGGTTGCATGAGGGAGATGGAGATAGATAAAGGGATACTGGTAGTCTTGCTTTGACCCGCCAAGAACAGTGACTACAACTATACTCTCTGCTATTCAATCATTCCTCCATAGATGACGCTATGGATGACGCTCACAGCGAACAAACGCGGAATGAACTATATATTTGCAATCTAGCAGCTCTCTAGCCAACAAGTTGACATGTTGTCGGTTTGACATTAGATAGATTTTTTATGTAATAACCCTGCCAGCCTATCTCTCGAGAATATGGTGAATGTCCAGCGTGCCTCAAGATTTCAACAAATTGTAACAATTGCCGGGTGTGCAACATAGATAAACCCAACGTACTTTAAAAATGGTGAAAGAGCTTCTTAGATGAAGTGACGAATGTGCGTTCAAATAATTCCCGCTTTCATACTGCCACCAGAGAAAGTAAATTGCATTTGAAAGAAGAGATGAAATTAAACGTGATGTCTCAGCTATTCTTCATTATACAGGTATATATAAAATATAATATATATTTTTACGGTGCAGATTTATTTTAGTACTACACCTATTAATTTTAATACATACTTGTAATTTGGATTCAATGCATGCAAACAAATGATTGAAGACACCAATTAAGATGAAAATCAAATAACTATAAACAGATTAACGGGAGTTGAGGCACTTGAATTAGATTCAGTACATTTCAACTGATTCAGTGTAACATCTGAAGCTTATCCTGTGGTTTGCATGTCGATAATCCCCCATGCCTGTCTGGCCAATAAAACCCCTATGTATGTACGTCTATGAATATCTTCTTTAACATAAATGCTTCAATCACAAAGGTGGACTTTTTTCAGTACAATGCCCTATATTTGATTTATCTTCCAGACGAGAGTTCGTTTGTTTTGTTTTTTCAGTGTATTTCTTTATTAACCCATTAACGCCCGCTGTACTCAAGCGAGTACACTCGTGTTTGTTCCTATCAGAGCCATCCCTGAGTCAACCACAGAAATACTACCTTTTATAAACATTTGTAGATGGTACATGCGACAGGGTGCAAGAGCCATTTTTCATAAATTCTGTGAGTGTTAGAAGTTATTGCTTATTTGTTAGAGTAGCATATTGCTAAACTTCGCCACTATAGTTACACTTTATATATATACACATGTATTGTATATATTATTTAATAAAGACGTTTATTATTATTATTATTATTATTATTATTATTATTATTATTATTATTATTATTTGATCTAAGGTAAGTTCGGCTTTAACATATTTTTTTTTTTTATTGAGGTGACCATCTAATAAGCTAAACTTTTTCTATTATGTATATGTAAATGTTGTTTGATTGATTTGCCGGGCATAAATTATTTTAACTGATTTAATGTAATTAGAATGTATGTTCAAGTTTGACTGTACTCAAATGAGTATACTGGGCAAATTCATTATCATTCGACTAATGCTATTTTTTTGTTTTAGATATGTGTAAACCGTTTTTTGATGATCTTGTTAAAACCTAAGGTTATTACACTTTTTTGCCTGATGCTCTAGATGATTTAAAATATAACGATGATATTGTGGTCTTGCCTCCAGACGCACATTATTTTGACTGACGAGGAGGAATTGGACGAAAACCAACTGATGGCAAATGGAATGCCACAAGATGTTTTTGGTCGTTTATAGCTGTTTCGCCACAGTTCAGCTAATGACGAGTTCTACAGCAGCTACGAAGAGCCTCAAGTGAAGTGCGGAAACGTATAAAAATAAATGAATCTGAACGCGATGACTTCGACTGGGAGAAATGCAATCCTAAATATTCCATTTGGTCTGAGCCGCCACCGTTATGTGAAATGAATGCCAATAGGGATAAACTAGCGGAAGAGATTTGAATCCTAAACTATTTGAACTTTTCTTTGATGATACGGTTTTGCATATTGTCGATCATATATCTAGGCATCTCAAAATAATCGGCACAATTTCATCACCACCAAAGAAGAAATGAAAACCTTCATAAATTCGGACATTTTCCTGCGACGCTAGAGAAGCAATTACGATGTGCAGTATGCCATTCAAGGGTTTGTCAACACTATGTATTGAACGTGCATGCTTCAAGTTACATCATACAAAATAAACGGTTTCGCCCATTGTACTCAAATGATTACAAATATTTTTTTGGAAAAAATAATAAAATATATATTGTTTTATTATCTTCAGTTTTTATTTTAGTCCTAATAACCTAACTTATATACGTAATATCCGTTTTCCATGTTCAAACTTAATTTGGGCGTTAATGGGTTAAAATACAATTGAGTCATTCCTAATAATTATTTTCTGTTATACCCCAACTCCGATAATTCATCCTCTCATATATGAATGACTTTCATTCCTACATTATTTGAAACTGTAGAAAACCTTGTGGTAGAGGCTCTGATCCCTCAATCATCATCATTTTAGGTGGATTATCTTTCGTTACAGATGAAAGTCTATTTCCTTCCACGGTTGTCAGTTCTTCCTTTGCCCACCTCCACCTACCAATGGACGTTACAATTTGTATATTTAGCACTGAGAAAAATTCCGTCGAGCCCACATGCACTTTGCTAACACTCTTGCAACTAAATCGTTGATCTGTCTATTGAAACATATTTTACGTAAGTTGTTTATAGTTGACATTAATCCGCAACCAGAAGTCTCTTTTCATCCCACCGTCAATGTTTTGCCCGCCAACCCCAACCTGCTCTTTCTTTCAACCACGTTGCACCAGCATGCACCTGAAGACGGCCTACCGACCGGGAGCGACCGCGTGTGCAACGGAGGTGTTCCGAGAGGCGTTTGCGGAGGGTGGGGGACGTGGGCGTGTCTTCCGATCGGCTCCGCCTCCACTCTCTCCTCTCCCTTCGCCTGTCGCACACGCTGCTTTGCGCGCCTTCGCCGCTCCTCAGTCGGTCTCCCGCAGCCGTGGTAAACGTGTGTGCGCTGACCACGCATCCACTTTTTCGGCTTTCGGGTATAACGAGCGTCGTGCGTCGTGACATTTTGTGACTAGATGCGCTCAAAGTGCGTGTTTGTTTGTGACTTGCTCCCCCCTGGACTTGTGTAAACTTTTGGTTCTCTCTGGGATATTATGCTACTGATGGTTTTGTGATTGCGCTGGGAATTGTCTCTGGTAAATAAATTATTGTTTTCTGGCTGTCATATATTTATATATTGCTACTTTTATCGTTTATATTCAGATCCGAAAAGCGACAAACTCGTATTAACAACAACATTCTCGCTAACATCATTGCTTTTGTTGTTTGGTCCTTTGAATAGAATCATTCAGGATGTTAACACTCATTTGGGCTTGGGAGCCGAATCATTTTAGCTACTGGTCAGTGATAAAGTGTAGTGGTATTTTTCTTATGACTTGGTATTGGTCAGTGGCAACCACATACATCAAACAGTTGAACAAACAATATCGAGCCAAAGAACAAGAACTTTGGATATCACACCTATATTCCAAAATACATAGTTGAACATTTTGACGTGGGGTACCTATGAATAAATAAATACACCTAACATTGATCTTTGACATATTATTTGGAAGAAAACTTATTTGTTAATACTAAAGGAGGATTTTACAAAAGTGTATATTGAAAATCCTAGAAATAAAATCCAACATAAGATAAAAAATACGAAAATGATCAACAGTTGGGGAAAATCATTTCATCAAGCTTTGTCTTAAATTGTATATTTGCTTGATTTGAACCTATGTACAATCAGATTATTCCCTAGGCTGTTTAAAATTGTGCCTTTAAGCTCAAAGATTATGCCTTGGAAATGTGTTTTATTGCTGGATGGGTCTTATTATCATACAGACAAACAGATTATTCTTTAAAAAATCAACCTTTCATCTTATACCAAATGAATCTAGTATAGCTGTGCAATTTTGATTAATGAAATCTAGTTTTGATGAAATCTACTCTGTGTTAGGTTTGTGCCAATATTTATTTTATCAATTAATATAGATATATTTTGATATGATGCTAAATCATATATTATTTTATTGGCAATAAAATAATGTAAAAATCATAGAATATCTAAAAGTAATCTATCTACTTATCTTTACTATTGCATTTAATGGAAACCATTTCCTATATTGTCGCTAGTTATTACTCATATAAAAAGTTTCCATAATTACAAATAATAATTCATAAAACCTATTTCTAGAAATTTTGATATATTTATCAATTCATATTATATAACTTTTTGAACAATGAAAAATCAGCCTCTAATGTTATTAGACGTAATAAAAGAACTTTTTTAATGAAATATTGGGAGAATAACAATTTTATAGAGCATTTTTTATTTACTGCTGATATCAAAAAGCCAGTCGATTTTTATACTTTCTGTTTAGGAGGAGTATTTTTACACTGTCAGGTATCTATTTAATCAAAATGTGGTAGTTGGTCTATTTCTTTCTGTTTTACAGTCTAACAGATAAAACCTAATACTTATTAGATAAAACTTAGTGTAGTTAGCTCTCTTATGGCCGAATTGATTGTAGTTTGATGCAGTTTTATCAATCTTGTCACTTAGAAGCTGTCAAAGACGGAAGGTCTTGAGATAGACAGTGCTATTTTAATAAGACTGCTTTCGTGTCACGTTTATTGGCAATTATCAGCACGGTCCAGGCAGAACAATGGACAAAAGCAGAACAAAATAACTCGTATTACAGTTATGATGGATAGAAATGGGTGCCAGTCACAACCAGAAGTACACCACATCAGTATTAAAGCGAACTGAGATGCCTTTAGTAGTAGTAATAGTGCTGGGGAGCCGAAGCTGGGAAGTAATCCACCTTTGGTCATTTTTGCCGACCCTGAGTGTACCAATACTCTACTCGACATGCCCATTCACTAATCTATCGAACCTTCCTAATGGAGGTCCGGATGCCTGAACACTCCCCTGAGTATGTAACTTCACTATCAAACTTCATGGTTCTGGATATCTCAGCTCTTAGGCTGCATATACGGGGCAAAATCCTAGAAAGAGGAACACTGTCTCATCCTTCTCCCAGCACATGCGGCGGATATAACCTCTTTTCACCCTTAGAAGGGACAAGTGACTCTTCAGTCTACAGTGGCGGGTGAGAACACCCACCAAGAGATTGACCTCCGTTGAGTAGCCAGCGCGCCTGATGTTTGCCGGGCCTGCTATAAACCTCTTGGTATGCCTGCAATCATATTTCTTTCCTTCTCTCGCAATAATCTTCTAGGTCCCTTACGCTCATTCATTGAGTGTGGCAATGACGTGGTGACTTCTTATATCTAACCTACGCTCGAGACCGATGCAGAAGCTCCTGGTCCCCAGCCTAGTCAAATACTCTCTCGTTAATTCACCGCCACTTCTTTGTGTTGGGCTAGGCTAAGCTAGCGTCGATTTGTTCCTTGAGATACCCCCGTCTCCAGGGCTACTTGGCGGTGCATATAAGTACTTGTATGTTCTGTTCGGTACTGTTGAAGGTCCT